AAGCCTCGTGTGAAGGTACGTTTTATTGTCTCTGGTATCTATCAACATCAACTACCCTCCTCTGTTCGCTGACTATCATTCTCCCTACACTGCATTTCTACCTCCATGGTGCAGGTGAATTTCACTGCGCAGTCAATCATCTTCACTCTGTTCTCGAATTCCCTCTTTTTATTGCAATCACAGACACGGGACTGAATATTCAGCGCTAACCATCAATATCAGTACCAAGCTTCATGCCACTGCCAACTAGTACGCTATAGCGTAACCTTATCCCCACCACTCGATGACTTCGACAGCTGGGTGGTCGAATGCAATTGCTCCATCTGCGCGCGAAATGGGTACCTGAATGTCTACGTGCAGACCGACTGCATAGAATTTGAGACCATTGGATTGGAATCGGATCTCATTGAGGTATGTCTTCCTATAATCTCTGAATCATGATTATGGGTGTTGGCATACAACTCGAGAGGCGATTGTTTGCGGGGACGTTCCAAGAATACATATATGAGAGTCGGTTAATTGGGATGATAAAAACAGGACCTATGCTAACAAGGGTATGATTGTAGAAATACCGTTTCGGCAAACAACGAGTCCAACACTACTTCTGCAGCCGCTGTGGCAGCAGCCTCATGGCCGAAAGCATTGAACCAGGTTTCTACGAAGGAGTCAAAGCACTCAACGTGAGTCACCCTCTCTTCTTCCCCTTCACACATCTCTCCCCTTTCCTTATCTCTGTCCTTATCCCTATCCCTATCCCTGGCATATCATACCATACCATACCCCACCCGCCCAGAACCACCCCACTCTAACCACTCCATCCCCGCAGGTCCGCATGTTCCAAAATGTCGACATAAAAACGCTCCAACGCCGCGAAATCGACGGCAAGAGTCTCTAGCTCTTCAGAGTCGTGTTACATGGAGTTGCATCTTTGATGCGGCTTTGTGGGTTCGATGACTATTCTTCGGTCGTTGGACGGTGACTGAGTGGGTTTGTCCGTTTGGACTGACCTGCTTGATCATACTTCTTTATTTGTGATACGAGGGTGTTGCAGAAGTTGATGTTTTGCGATGTCTTGGAGGGTGTCTGTAGAGTGCGGTTGAGAACAGACTTCGCGTTAGTGGTGGACGAGGGACAATGGGATGGAAGCGAGGAGTTGGTGCGAGATATCCTGGGATTGATCGATTTTATGAATTTCGTTGTCATGTTTTGCGTTTTGCGTTGAGGGTTGTCTTTTCTTCAAGTTGGGGGTCAGGGTTAGATAGACGAATAGATGGCGGGTTATATGCTCGTTTACGGCATCGTTTGATAAGCTATTAAATGCCTTTTGTGTGTGTGTTTGTGTACTGCTTCAATGACAACACTCCAACATGGGTTGCATCGTGAGGTCAGACAGGACGTATAATGATAGTTTGTTGCTCTATTCTTTAAGTCCTAAAGGAGAAAGATGCCAAAGCATCGTGGGAGCCATTGCAGGACAGCAAGTGCTGTTAACAGTTGGGGTATATAACGCATAATTCGATGCTCGGAACCCCAATATGCACCCATAATCTCATGGCATTTTTTTGTGTTCCCATTATCTCATCGAGCATATGAACCCCTCCATGTGAGAACCGTCAGATGAGAAACACTTCTCATCGAGATCAGTCCCAGGCAGATCAACCCTCATTTGTCCCTCCTCGGGCTCTGAAGAAGTCCAACACCCTGAGTTTTCATCTTCTTCAAAGCATCGTCGACGTTCTTTTGGCGCTTGGCAACACGATAATGGCGCTTCTCGACCTCATCTTCAAACTCTCTAGCCAGCTTGCGCTTCTCTTGTCGTGCTTCTTTGCTTTTCGTGATGATGTTGGTGAACTGTTCGACAAACCAATCTCCCGCATCTTCCCACTCCTTGGTAGGCAAGGACCTGAAGAACTTTCCCTGGTCATTGGGATCGAGCCTGTCTTTGACGTGTTCCAAACGCTCTACAAGAGGCTTACGAAGCATGTCATCGGAGAGGATTTGAGGACTAGCACGTGGATTGTCGTCGAAATCTTGTTTCTTTAGTTGTTCGAAGTTCTTCTTGAACAGAATTGGGTGATCGTAATCCTCGAAAGGTCCCTGATCTTGCTCGGTAATGCCGGCTGTAGGCTCAAATTCTTGGCGAGATTGCGTTTTAGTATGTCCATGCGTGGCTGGGGTATGTGCCTTTGGATGTGCCGTGGGTTGAACACGATGGGGTAGGTGGCGACCACTGCGTTGAGGAGCAATCGGACCTTGATATGGGAGTGGGTTTGCCTGAGCGGTCGACACCATCGGACGATCGTAATGAACTTGAGTGTTCACGGCCGGTTGGCGAACTTGCGGGGGTGCATTGTAGGCCTGGTGCGGTGTTTCTGTGACTGGAGCTCGCTTTGGATCAGAGCGTTCATTCTGTCGGAGCCCAGCGCCCCGTTGAAATATATCCCCTGTGGGCTTCGCAGACGAATGAAGTACCTGCGGCACGGGTGGTCGATGAGAATAAGCCTGCATACCTTCTGCGGGCTGGCGCTGTGGTCGGGCTTGCAACTGTGAAGGTTGTGGTGTAGGTAATGAATCGGCCGGTTCGTCTGGTTCGTAGTTATGATAATCTGACGGAACGCCAGAGGTGGTTGGTGGGTAAGAGTCACCGTTAACGACGCCGAACTCGACATCTACATTGCGACCCCAAGATACGAGGTAAGAGCGCTGGAGTTCTGGGTCTGTGTTGAGAAGATTCCCCTGTTGGAGAAGCTCCTCGTTCGTCATGCCATCCCCGCGATCATTGTACTGCACATGATCTCGCTCGTCTTCTCTGATTTCGTCGCTGCCCTCGTCGTGATCCCCATCTTCTTCCCCATCCTCGTCGTCTTCTACATCACCTTCATACGGGCCAGCATGCTGGCGTTCTCGTTCTTGGTCATTTTCCAAAAGGGCAGTAGACCGTCCCTGCACACTTGTATCGATACTCTCGGCATCAGTATCAAACCCTTTTCCAGGCTCTGGCTTGACATTGCGATCTTGGGGTCGGGGCGGTTGTTGTTGTTGTTCTTGTTGCTGCTGGCGTTGAGTTCCTTGTGCAGAGCCACGACCTCCTCTCTGTGGAAGCCCTATGGGCTGCTGTTGAGCGTGATCGCTGTGACTTAGATCCTGGTGCGCCACTGGCATCCTTATTTCCTGCGCAATTGTTCGCCGATTGCTGCTGTTAGCACGGCCTTGTTGAGGACTCTTCGCCCTGCCCTGAGCGAACTGTCTCATGGTTGACATCGAAAACTAGATACCACCCGTCCCGGATGAGTGAAGATGAGATGCTGAGGCAACAAAACTGTCACCCGAGCGGTTGTGGAGAGAAGTGTGGTGTTGCAGCTCGAAAGAGAAGTCATGCGCCTCGGCTAGTCGACCAATGACCAAAAGCGATGACGATATCTAGTCGAGCCTTATCTCCACTCACTCTCCTTATTGCCGCGTTGCGTTCACTTCCACTGTATTGCACAATTTATGCGATAAACACTCTCTCGATCTTATCAGTTCTTTCTAAGGTGTGCACAATGCCAACTTGCCACCTCTACGGCCTTCCCAATGAAGTGTGTTACCCGTCGACTTATCTTGCCCGCCGTACCACCCCACTAACAGAGCTCAGCTCCTCCTCCATATCCTGATACCCACCGTATATACGCCCTCATCCTCCGCATTCTCCAAACACGTCTTGTCACCGCCTCAACCCTCGAAAATCACTCCGTCCTCCTGGAGGCGTTTACACCCGCTGCAAAGTTCACTGAACCACCGTATCATTGCACATACCGCGGCACAGATGGCCTATCCACATATGCATCCTTCGAGAATGACCCCAACATAGCATGTCGCCTCGGCGAATTGCGAAACTTGTACTCCCGCTTTCGGCCGTATAGACGAGAGCTAGAAACAGGAGGAAGAAGGGTCAGGCGGCGACCCGGAGATGTACCAGGAAGCAGAACATGGCCCGGTACAGCCTCTGAGAAGTATGAAGGGGAGACGGTGAAACAGATTCTGAATCTGGACAGCCATGAGTTGTTCACGCAATTGTGCGCGCTGGTGAACCTGGTAAAGATAGGGCCAAGACATGGCTTATTTACTGCTTTCGTAGAGATAGAGGAAGGATGGCTGAGAGTTTGGAGGGATTGGCTGAAAAAGGTGGCGGAGAGGGATGATGCAACGGGGTTTGGGGTACAGAAGAAAAAAGAGTTTGTAGGAAAGGGAAAAGAACCCGTGCGTGATGTGGACGAAAGGAGAGTGGATCCAGATGACGAAAGTATTCTCTGGGTCAAACCGAATAAGAACGTCGGTATGAGGCTCAATGTTAGGGAGAAGAAGGATAGAAGAGGTGTGCCAATCCTAATGCGGATCGATGAGGAGGATATGCCAGTTAGCTATGAGCTCGAACATGATGGTAGGTCTTTCACGTACGCCTGTCACAGAATCATCGCTGATTTGGGTTATAGAATTACTGATTCGCACATCGCATTTGCTACTGATGCTCGAGAAATCTGTGGTGCAGGAAGACAACCCCTCGGGCAAAGCTGTCGTCTTTGGCTCGTTTGGATAAATACATATATTACTAAGCCTTTCTGCACCACTATTTGTGTTAGATCCTTAATTGTAGTAGCATTTCGCTCTTGATTTCTTCGGCAGGGTTGGATAGAGGATGATTGCAATTTCTTCCCGCACATTGAACTCGGCGAGGGGAACAGGTAGATTAGACAAGTAGTATATGTTCTTCATCCATTCGAGAAAGCTCTCAAGAGTAGAATGCCATTTGATGATGGTCGGTTAACGTGTCCGCGTCCCCGGCTCTTCTGATGCCATAAACATCAGATATGACATTCTACCACGAATTTCCCCATGATACAGCAATCAGGGAAACTAGACTTTAAACACATTTCTAGTGTTCGTAACCTGAACAGAGCTCGGACTTGCACCACGTAAAAAGAGAACACCGAGGGAAATGGGAAAAAAAATAACCACGATAATCTCCGCTCCCAGAATCGAACTAGGGACCTTCTGATAACAGCTAATGGAGTGAACCTTTACAGTCAGACGTGATGAACCAACTACACCAAGCGGAGATGAGATTCTAAGGTGTTGGCCTCAGAGCTCGGTGTTGTGATCGAATGATTTTTCGATCCCTAAACTAGAATATATAGGAGGTGAAAAGCGATATTGAAGAGCAGCTGGGGTACGAGACCCTTGGAAGGCACGAGGGGCAAAGGGGGGCTGCGGGGTCGAAATGGTGTTGGGGCGCTAGTTAGACAAGGGCTCTAGCGGGAAATAAAAAGTTGGATCTAAGCCCAATTTGCCTAGTCTACCTAGCAAATATACCTCCCCTATATAAATCTATATAGAGAATATATTTTTAGTAGGATTTTATTAATTTTAATATCTAAATAATTATATAAGGCTGTAGATTTATATAAGGAGCTTATATATAGAAAATTTCTTAGTAGAGAGGCTCTATAAGAGGTGCTGTAATATAAGAGGTAGCTAATACTTTATTATATAGCTACCTTAATACTAATAATCCTATAGCCTTACTAGATAGCTATCTATACTCCTATTAATCTTATTTATATACTTTTTAGTTTTAAAGCTCTCTATAATCCCTATTACCTATATAAGGCCTTCCTTAGGTAAGTTATATATATAATCTATAAACTTCTACTAAGTAACCTTAATCTATATCTCTATAAGGTTTAGATCTAGTAATAAGCTACTACTAATAATATAGTCTATACCTTAGTACTCTATCTACTATATAGAGACCTAGCTTTTATATATAGAGTCTCTATCTATATAGATAACCTTCTTAAGGCTATATGTGAGGCACGTTAGGGCAGGTAATTCAGTTTAGGGCAAAATGTATGTATTAAGACAAATCCTTAAGGAGCCCTTAAGGATACATCCAAGAATATATAGGATAGGTTAGGTAATTAGGGCTGGTCTTGGCCTAGGGCACCTCTAAGGGAGATCCATAGGATCTCCGTTGGAGCCTATATAGAAATGTCCCTAATAACTACCCCCCCCTTTCTTAATAACTTAGCCTGAGTTATTATAACTGGGTGTTAAACGGGTTACTCTTAGGTATCTATTAGTCTTATAGGGGGTCCTTCTTGTAGAGGAGCTAATTAAACTCTAGGAAAACTCCCTGTAGGAGAAACCTTGGTTTAGAGAAATTACCTTCCTACCCTTAGTATTATTATTAGGGGATGTCCTGAGATCTTCATTATTGACTTAACCTAATAAACGCTTATAGCGTAGTAGTATACCTCTACTAATAGCCTAGGCCTTGCGCAGCCTGTTTGTAAATTATCCTATAGATATTTTTATATAGTATACTTATCTATAGAGCTAGTTTGTCAAGGGGTTAACTCTTATATAAAGTCTACTAATAGTATCTACCCCTCTACCTTCTACTTTGTTAATTAGGTATATCTAATACCCCTAATTAGCGTAATGCCTTCCTACCACTTGCCCTTTTGATAGGCTGCTGGGGGGGAGACTTAGTATTTAGATAGTAACTAAGTTTCCCTTAGTGGTAGATATAATAGCATAGAGATTGCTCCTCTTATGTGCTTAGCACTAAGTGCTATTTACTTATTAGGAGGTCTACTGTAGGTCCTCTTAAGTAGGCAACATAATGGATAACTAGTAAGGAGGCTAGTAGTCTCCTCTTCCAGTTGTTAGCTATTCGCCGTTTACCTCTTGGGGCGTAGGCAGCTCTTCACTAGAGCATAGTTTAGGGACTTAGGTGCTGTGCTTTGGATTGGGTATAAAAAGGTGTTTTCCGCTTAGGGTTGACTCTTCTTCTTATACCTTACTTTTTAACGAGTGCTCTAAGTTGCTCCTATCACTGCCTGCTCCTATCATACTATCCTTTACTACTATTCCCATTAGTGCTGTCCTTAATACTCCTATTCCACGTTATGTGTTGTTGCTCTCACCAAACATAGAGCCGCAGCCTGCGCTGGTGGCCTGCTGGTGGGTTTTATCATTCCCGCCAGCGCCCCGTTGGTGTTGCGGTGCATTCCCGCTGACTACTGTCCAGGTACGAGCGTTGCGTCGTTAGACTCGTGTCCACGAGCAAGACTATTCCTGATAGGTCCTACGAGGGCTTCATCAAGGCTCTGTTGCATCCTAGCAAGTTCTGCTGGGTAGTGTCTTCCACGTAGACTGTGTGCAAGCCTTGTTAGGACGCAAAGGCTGGGGGTTGCATTGAGGCAGGTAGTTCTGTTTTTTTTTCCCCGTAATCTCTCTGCTAACGCCCCGTTTAGGTTGCGCCTGTGTTCCGTTGCGCCGTCAACGTCCTCAAATACCTTCTCTTAATCACTCGCCGCTATACCTCCCGCCAGTTTAGTACTGTGCCCGCTTTTCCTGACGATACATTCATGGCTACCTTACTGGCGAATGCTACGCTCTATAGTGACTGGAGTTGCGCGTGGAGCTACACTCAGTTATTGGCTCCCACCTTTGGTGCTGCTGAGAAGGAAGAGAAGCGATTAATTAAGGAGATGTATCAAGGTGACGTTGTAGCCTACTAGTGGGCTTGGGAGCAGTCTACAGACAACAATTTGCATTGCTATAAGGTTTGTCCACCCTTGCTCCTGAATCTTCCTGAAGAGTTTCCGCTGATATGCTTAGATGGGTATCAGTTCTGTAGGCCTCTGTCGCCCTACCAACATCGTTGTCAGTGTTTAATATAAGACAATCTTCCAGGATTCTAGCAGGGGTTTAGCTCCTCGTAAGTATTAATTCTACTACTATAGTACTTATATCCCTAGCAAGTCTGAGGGGATAGATGCAAGTAAGAGCCCTATTAAGCATAGGAAGACTCCTAGTTACTCCGCCTCCCTAGATCTTAGTTTAGGCGCTATGGAGTTGTAGATAGATAAATATCATTGTACTTCTCTTCTATACTTAGTATTTCAGAGCTGTGGTATATTTCATTGACTAACTTAGTAATCTATGATACATAGTCTCCTTATTCCCAACTTAGTAAGATAAGGGAGACTTCTCCCTTTGCTGTAACTTCTGGTATACTCAGCCTTTTTATCTTAGGAAGGGCCTTTTCTGCCCTAAGGCCTGTGTAGCTGTTCTCTACCCTTTCCCTAAGATACGTCTCAAGGGGAGATCTAGTACTTGTGGAGTACTTTAGTACAGTTTATAAGATTTGCCTTATATTCCTATATTGCTTTCTCTTCTAGCCAGCCTAGCTATTTGACCTTGAAATGTTATTTGGATACAATGTCCTTGTGATATAAGATTCCCTCAACCTCATAGTGCGCGGCACTATCCTGGTCTGGGTTATAGTCTAGAACCTCTACAGGTCCTGGCTGGAAACCCCTTGACTTAGGAGGGGGTCTCTATAGTTCTAATAGTAAGATGTAGAATACTGGATAGATCTGTGTTATTAATGGGGGGAGATCTAGTAGGTATACTAGTTTACCAACCTTCTTTAGGACTATGAACGGCCTAAGGTAACGGTAATTAAACTTCTTAGACAGTTTCGTTGTTGCGATGTTCTTCTGGTTAAGTAGGACCTTATCACTAGGTGAGAAGTGGGCTGGGAGGCGCTTTTTATTATACCAACATTGGTACTACTCTTATACTTACTTAAGGTTAGTAGCTGTAGTCTCCCAGTTCTTAAACTACTCCTATATCTTTGTGATGACTTGCTATTATAGGTCTACTAAACTTCTAGTGTACCTAACATCCTGCTATAGTAAGGGGTTAGGTCTCTAAAGCTAGTGTTTATCTAGTACCCTATTAAAGCTTAAGGGCTTTAAGCTATAGGTAAGTTTAATAGGGGTAAACCTTGTTGTAGAGTGTTCTTTAGAGTTATATACAAACTCCGCGTAGGGTAGTAAGTCTACCTAATTATCTTGGTCACAGTTTATGTAGATCTAGAGGTAAGACTCTATCTCCTAATTCTAGTGTTTAGTTTGCCCGTTAGTTTGAGGATAGAATACTATTAATAGATATTTCTTAATCTTAAGGTAGTAATAGATATTAGACCAGAACTAACTTGTAAATACTACTCCTTAATTGGTTACTAGTAATATGGGTAGCCCTACCTTTAGGAAAACTTGCGTTAGTAGTAGCTTAGCTAGCTACTAGGCTGTAATCGTTTTGTTTATAGGGAGGTACTAGGTATACTTAGAGAATCTATCCACTAGTACTAGAATAGCATTATATATATTACTGTTGTTATCCCTTAACTCTAGCAGATTAGTTATAAAGTTAAGGGAGAAGTACTTCTAAGGCTTAGAGGCTAGGGGGAGTGGTTCCAGCAGTCCCTATGGCTTATACTAATAAATCTTATTTATCTAACAAGGTGCATAGTAGCAGATATATGTCTTTACGTCCTCTTTAAGGCGTTTCTAGAAGTACTTCTACCTAAGGACTTCTACTGTCCTTGCAATGCTATAGTAGCCTCCTATTAGGTTATTATAATTCTAAATAAGGATAGCTTCCTATAGAGATATATTATTAGGGATCTACACTTTCCTATCTCTATAGAGGATACTACTAGGGTCAACTATCTAGTTTGGCGTGCCCTTAACTACTCTACCCTCTTCCTACTGCATCAGCGCCTTATACCTAGAATAGGCTATATCCTAGGCTTAGGACTCTCTAATATAGTCTAAGAGGAGGTCTAGGGTATCTAGTATAAATGTAGTATCTCCAGATACTGCTCCATATGCCTATATGTATAACGAAGCGGCTCTAGTAATTGGAGCCTTAACTATAAGCGCCTCAGCGCATTAATTGGGAGTTAGTAGCTCTAGATCCAGCTAGTTATTATATATAGCTTTGAATAGGTTAGTCCCCAGAGGATCGCCTTAATTAGTGGAGCTTAGGGGACTACCTAAGGGTAACATATCACTATATAGACTTGTGCTACGGATATCCTATGCTAAAGGTACTATTTCAGAGAGTTAATAGGAACCTGTAGGCCCTACTCTAGAGAGGTCCTCTCTCTACGCTTTTAGCTCAGCTTCCTACTATTTTTACGCTTAAGCCCTAGTTATCCAGATAGACCAGATTCAAAGCTTTTGTTAGAGGGTTGGCA